AGCGTGGGGTTCCGAAGGACCTTACCGTCCTCGTCCTTGATGTTCTGGGAGGTAAGTGGCCTCTTACCTTCGACGTCGATCATCTTCAGGTGCCTGTAGAAACCCGCCTGGTCCCCCTCACGGCTCTTCTTCTCAAGCTGCCTCACATAGCCCTCGAAGAACTTTTCCAGTGCTCTCCACCTCGCGCTGTTGTGTTGCGGCTTGAATAATGCTGCCGAAGAACTGGGTGCGTCACACCAAAACCGGCCTTATATAGGGTGCGCGGACGCACTTATCGGCCTTAAATAGGGACTATGCCTGTTTAAGGCCTGTGCGGCCATAAAAAGGAGGGCAAGTGTGACAGATGATTTCACCGGCAAATTAAAGGGCCACCGGCCTTAAATTTGAGGCCTTAAACAGGGACCTCTACTGTATGACTTAATTTGTTTTCTGGTGCTTTCACTTCCAGAGGCAGTTGTAAGCACTGTGTGAACTGTCTCGAGGGTGCTTGACCAATTTAACACAACTTGGTGCGATTATTACCTTTGCGCGGAGTGAGTGTTCTCGACCCAACACAACATAATCTACAATGCTCGACCACCATTCATGGCTACCGCAAAATAAAACAAAGGCAAAAAAACTAGCGGTATCCTAGTTGCCGAGCTCACGAAGTGATTGGCTTGTTTACAACATCGCGGCCAAGCGACGAAAACCCAACCCCGATGGCAAACACCGGGGGGACGAACCGGCACTCTGGCCGGTTGTGCGGCACAAAAAAAATAAATAATAATAATAATAAGCACATTTTTTCTCTTTTGGACACATTCGGCCGGGCACCCTCGGCCGGCAAAGCCTGACAAGGTCATATACTGCGACACCCTGGCTAGATGTGGGTCTGGGCACGATGGAGTACACCCGCACGCTCGCTCTAACAGAGACTAAACTTGTGTGCCTGTAGACGGACAAACGGTCGTCGGGGACACAACAGCAATGTATCTACGAAGTGGGCGCTGAGAACTTTTTTTCTTTTAACCGGGGGCGGCACCCCCCGCCGTGCCGAGTCGGGCAGGTGCACACCATTTCCTTCCGCCGTGCAGTAAAAGTCATTACACACACACAGGTGTAGCTTTCGTTGCACGCCGCGCAATTGCGCGCGCGTGCCTCCGATTTTTTTAGGTCGGACACACGACACCAGGCACACACAGAGAGGCAACACCGCGGCCAGCAAGTATAGACTATATACTTCGTATATACTTAGCAGTACTGAATCTGCCTTTTTTTGGCGAAAAAAAGCAAAACAACACACACTCTGCCCGCGCATGTACGCAACCCTCTGCGATCATCCCCACTATTCTCGTATTGAAGTATTGACTCTCCAACAGAGGAACAAAGTAGTAGACGGATTACTTCGTATACGTGTAATTTAGTCTATGTTTCATGACGTTTTGTTTTGTTTTTCTCCCATCATTGGACTCTGTCGTCTGCCTCTCTCGGCTCTGACACGCCCGACGTGCTCAGACGACAGTGTCTTGGTTGATGGAGTGGTGACACTCATTCAATATGTACTTGTCGTACCCGGTGGTCCCCGGCGTAGCCTGGCGGAATCTGTGGCGCCAAGCACCAGCCCCATGACCCGACCCTTCCCCGCCCGTCACTACCCCGCAAACGTGAGAGCTGCCAGCTTCACCTTCGCCGCTCAGCGAGCATGCGTGGTAGAGATGAACCTGCCGATAGATGGCAGATACAGGGTACACCGCCGGACGGCCGCGGGCTCGAAGGTTCAGCGTCGGATGCCCGGTGATTGAATCGGGGACGCGGTCGTTGGCGTGAGCAACCCCATTGTAGTCGTAACCGAGCACCCACCACGTGAGCGGTGGTGGGTTCCCACCCATTACAGGCCGATTGCCCTCGTGGCGGAAGAAGTACAGAATCTCCACCAGGGCTAGATCTGTAGGATCCGCACGGCCCGCCGCGGGCATCGGGGAAAGTTGCTTGTACATCTCTACGTTGTCCCCTCCGCCACTCCCGAGAGCCCACTCGTCACGCGGCCCAGCCTGCGCCGCCGACTTCACGTCGCCGCCCTTCAAGGGACCAAGGCCACAACTTGCTACCATGGGTACCCGGGTGTACCGGGAGCTGTCGATGGAAACTTGTTGAAGGGTGTCTCCGTCCCAGCAGTCCGGGCAGCGGCTGCTTGAGCACGGACCCGCCATGCCGCACCCGTAGTACGTCCGGTATGCGCGCAGTAAGGTCTGTTCGTTTGGGCGTNGCGGCCCAGCCTGCGCCGCCGACTTCACGTCGCCGCCCTTCAAGCGACCAAGGCCACAACTTGCTACCATGGGTACCCGGGTGTACCGGGAGCAGTCGATGGAAACTTGTTGAAGGGTGTCTCCGTCCCAGCAGTCCGGGCAGCGGCTGCTTGAGCACGGACCCGCCATGCCGCACCCGTAGTACGTCCGGTATGCGCGCAGTAAGGTCTGTTCGTCTGGGCGTAACTTGCTGGACGCCAGGCGAGTACGCCACTCGCCATCTAGCTGCTGCTCGTCCCCGTTGTTGAACAGAGAAGCGGTCCAAACCGCAGATCCCGGGTACTGTCCGCTAAGCTCTTCTGGCGTCTGATCCTTCTCCGCGTGAATGTCTGTGGGCACGCGGTCATGGCCGAGGAAGCTCGCCGGCGACTGCATGAGACGGACACAGCCATCACCGGGTTGAAGGGCGACGATCTCGTGCGTTCTGTTCTGTCGGTTGTACCTAGTGACTCTGTACGGCAGCCCGTTGGATAACGCCAATAATGCGCTGTTGATGATCGCCCGCAAGGCCATGTGCAGTGAAGGCCTCCTACCGCAGCCCACACCCCTTCCAGACCTGTTCACCTGGTGGGTGTGTTCACCCGTGCTGGCGTCCGGGCATATTCCTAGACGTTTCGTTCAACGTGTGCTGCAGGCGGCGAGAGGTCACATGAGGAGCCCGGCATGAGAGCGTTTTTCAGATAAACATGGACAATGAAGCACTATCAAAATGCTTGGTTGAGTGGTGGGTGAGTGGCGCAACCTCCCCCCTCCTCCTCCTCCTCCCCCCCGCAATGCCCATCGCGACTTTCGGCGGTGTTCTTAGCTGCAACGATCCAGCGAATGGTGTTCAACAAGGCCAACCCTAACCCACGACCCACAATCCGTATTCCAGCCGCTCTCACCGTGCAGACGAATCACCTCTACCGCATGTAGGATGGAGTGTATGGTGGGCCGCGATCCCGTCCTCCCCAATATTTTGGAAAAGGCTTCGACCTGAAAGGCAAGTACGTCACGAGTCATTTGCTTGCCATTCTCTTTACATTTTCTGAAGCACGAGGTGTTAAAATCTTGTAAAAAGTCTCAACACCGGTAGGGATGAGAATTGTCCTGTATTCTGTTGTCATGAACTGTTGTGCGCAGACACTATGCATTTGTTTTTTGTTGTTTGGGCGGCGTTACGCGTCGTGTATAGGTACCAAAGCATAGACACCAAAGAACTTGGGTTCGCTCCACGCCCAGCAAATACGGCACCAACCAGACACGGCCCACCGTCGCTTTGACGTAAGACAGCAGGGGTGTTTTCGCGCACCAATCTTGTGTATCAGCTCTCCGACGCAACCAGAATGGGCAATCGCCCGATGTGGACGTAGATGTCGTGGGCGTCCGAGGTACGGTGTTTTCCATTGCAACCTTTGTGGGCGTTTTTCTGTGTTTCGCGAAAAGTCGGAGACAAAAAATATCGACCTAGTCTTGTGTTTGTTTCGTTCTTGTTCGGATGGACACGACACCCCCGCGCTGAATGCTTGAACCTCTCGCAAGCGATGGCATTTTGCGATCAAACCAGCCGCGTGTGGTTGTAGGAGTGACGACGTAGCAACAGGGTGTGGCCATGCGGCCGTTGGCGCGGGCCATGGTGCCCTCTCTAGTATTGTCCTACTGCACGCAGAGTCAAATTAACGTGTCCCCCTGAAAAGAACGAACTGACAAAGAGGATCAGAACATACCGCGTCACGCGCGAGTTTGTCGAGTTGCCGTAGCTCCGTTTCGGTGAAAGATGGCGCGCGGAGGGCGAAAGACATGAGAGACAACCGTTTTATAAGCTCCCGCAGCGCCTCCAAGACCTTGTCGTACGTTCCCCACTCCGTGACGAGGTCATTGATCTCCCTTGTAGTCATGTTCTCCTTTGCCAGGTAAACATCATGGCCGGGAGTCATGACAGCAGCAAACAAGGGTGGTGTCTCCCTGTACCGTGGTGAGGTGCCGCCCTTTGACGCACCTAAAATGCTACCCTCTGTGTGGGTAGTTTGAGTGAGGCACGTCGAGATTCGCCCGTGCGTGTAGATCTGAGCTACTGTGATTCCTCTGCGAAAGGACCGTGGAAGGACAAACAAAATAATAAGTGTTCTACTTCTGCAAACAGAAAATGTGTACACAACTTCGAGAGGGGTGATGTACACCGCGCCGCTGCCAGAGAGTACCGGGTAAGTTATGGTCACGCTTCTCGTGCTCTAGCCAGGGAGGGGTACGAAAACGAATGTATAGCTCTGCAAACCGTAAGAAGCATGGAAGCGGGAGAGATTCCGTTCGGCGGGATATAATTCATGAGTACATGCATGTATTGTCTGCAATACTACGAAGTAGTGGCTTCTCTCGGGAACCACGAATGCCTGACTATGCTACAAAATGTACTTACCATTGCCGAAACATCCTGGAGAACTATCCGGAAAACGAGAAGCACGATCGATTGCAGTATCCACTTGTCGCTGCCATTCAGAGAAGCGTAGTTGGTCACGACATCCTTCAGCTTCCGTGTTCCGGGTGGGTAGAGTAAAGATGGCTTCTGGGCCATGATGGCTGAGACAAGCCGGCGACCTGCAGTGGAGAGCATCTCCAAGAAGAACACCTGGCAAAGCTGACTTTGCCCCTACCGGCAACGGTGGTGGGATGCGGCGCAGACAAGGAGAGAATGCAGCACGTAGCCGACGAGGTCATGNACCACGAATGCCTGACTATGCTACAAAATGTACTTACCATTGCCGAAACATCCTGGAGAACTATCCGGAAAACGAGAAGCACGATCGATTGCAGTATCCACTTGTCGCTGCCATTCAGAGAAACGTAGTTGGTCACGACATCCTTCAGCTTCCGCGTTCCGGGTGGGTAGAGTAAAGATGGCTTCTGGGCCATGATGGCTGAGACAAGCCGGCGACCTGCAGTGGAGAGCATCTCCAAGAAGAACACCTGGCAAAGCTGACTTTGCCCCTACCGGCAACGGCGGTGGGATGCGGCGCAGACAAGGAGAGAATGCAGCACGTAGCCGACGAGGTCATGGTGTGGGCGATCACAACAACCGTCGTTCTACTACTTACTGAAGTGCATGCGTCGTAATTTCGAACCTCTTGAGGACGGCGTATAATCTTCCGCTTGGAGTTCTAGGCGTCTTTCGACGTGGTCAACGTGTGTCCCCTGGGAGTCTCTCACATGCAGGGTAAATTTGTATGAAAACATCACTCACCAGCGCATCGAAGTGCAGTCGCTCGACGGGTACGTTCTCCGTCGGAACAATGCGCATGGCGGTGAATAGAGGGAGGGGGAGCCCTGACGCATTCCCAGGTCTCTTGATGGTCGATCCTGCTCGTGAGGGACATCCGCGAGAGCATCCAGCTCAGACAAGCCATCCGTTATCTGGCCCCATGTGCGGCGGTGCTTGTCGATGTCGAACCTTGGGTTCCCCAGATCGCCGCCGGTGTCATCGTCGCGTTGACTCATNGCAGTCGCTCGACGGGTACGTTCTCCGTCGGAACAATGCGCATGGCGGTGAATAGAGGGAGGGGGAGCCCTGACGCATTCCCAGGTCTCTTGATCGTCGATCCTGCTCGTGAGGGACATCCGCGAGAGCATCCAGCTCAGACAAGCCATCCGTTATCTGGCCCCATGTGCGGCGGTGCTTGTCGATGTCGAACCTTGGGTTCCCCAGATCGCCGCCGGTGTCATCGTCGCGTTGACTCATCATGCAGTACGCGCACGGATGTTTGGACCAGTTGTTGGGAGCCTTCGTGCCGAGAAATTTCGAGCGCCCTTGTCCATCCCCACACATCAGCAGCAGACCGCCACGAACAAAAACCTGGCGGGTGGCAACAATTTTGCGGAATCGTGGCGGGGCCGCAATTTTGTCGGTGTGTTGGTGCAGTGGTAGTCAGATTATAGTGCGTTACCCGAGCAAAGGCCACCGGCACCCATATACGCACTAATAGAGGTATACCTAACGCCGACACGTTGCCGTACGGGAAATTGGCATGAACTGAACCAATTATTCAACTCATATTGTATAATAAACCCCACCCAAACATTCGGAGGTACGCACAGATAACTACCTTTGTCTATCTTCCATGATCTCAGTGAACCTAGACCGTACCTCTTGCTCAAACGCCGCCCCTTCTTCGTCTGTCAGCTTGCACCGCCCCAGGCATCCATTTTTTAGCAGTCCAAGTATTTCGCACTGCAGGCCGGTCTCCCCCTGCCTGCAAGCTCCCGGGCTCGCGAGTGTGCCGACGTGCGTTTGATGTTTCAACCGCTGAACCGCTGGCGTTCGCCAAGCCCATCCAAAGTAGGACCCTCCTATGGAATACTGTGAACCACAACATCGCATGCATGTGCATCTAGACGAAGGATGGAGGAATCACGGTGAGCTATTGCGAATTAATCACCCCCGCTCGGGGTTAGATCTGGCGGGACGTCCCGCAATAACATAACAGTGGTGGTCCTGCGTGTGTCATATATATTCCGATATCTTCGCGTTAAACCATCTCAACCCCACACTCTCACGTTGCATCCCATTCCAAAGGCGTTGAATGCATCGCAGTGAAACACCGTCGACGCGGAGTAGTAGGGCAGATTCATGTCGTTGAGATGTACGCCCTCACGTCGCAGCCCCCAAAGCGGCTTGTTTACGAGGGTCCGTCACCGCGAACGGCTTAGGCCTGGCGTTACTCTGCAGTGCTCGCTTGGTACTGGTCTGCCTTACAAAACCTTCCCCGAAAAAGCGGTCCCATGGGTACGGGTGGCCAGCTGCCGCCATCTCGTGCGGCGTCTCCATCTCAACCAGCCCCAAAACGTCGTTGGCCTTCAACTCCAAGTTGCAGGTGCAATCCTCCCACACCCGGAACAGTCCGCCACGTCTCTCCTCATTCCCCACGCCCCGTACCTCGCTCGCCCCCCTGAACAGCCGCACGGTTACGAGCACCAACCCACGTTCTCCATCGTAGAATATCTCCAACATTCGGCATAGGGTAGCCTCTCCCTCGACCTCGCAAACACAAGTGTCGGTGACGTACACCTTCCTCCCGCACACTCTTGCTCGCATGCCGTCAAAGCCGAAGAATGGGGTTGACCTCGCGAATGTGTCGTTGTGGTTTGAGTTCATGACGTTTCCCTCTCGCCGTGTAGGCACGCAGTTGATGTGGTCACTCGTCAGCGAATTTCCGGCTGCCTCTTCTCCACGCAATAGCTTCCCTCCCGGGTACACCTTCGACAGCGCAGTCTCAGACGGAATATCTGCCAATGGAGGGTTTCGGGATCATGCCGGTGCTGTCGTTGTCGCGGAGTCAGAGGAGGGGTGCCGGGAGGTGCGATTGTGAATGCCTATTCGCATGGGTGTGCGACACAAATATGGGGTTTGCGAAGATCAAATATTGTTCCTTGTACTGATCATCGTTTTCACCCCGAGGTCCAATATTTCAAGGAGCCTTCCCAATTTCATAATTAGCTTCATTTACGAAGTTCCCCAAAGCTCCCCCAAAAGATCCCAATGTATCGTGCGCACTTATTTTTTGCATCCCTAACCCGAACCCTAACATTTTATGGTCCGTTCGGTACAATGTCTAGTGGGTAGCCTCGTAGCCTGCTAAGGGCCAGGTCAAGGGTTCGAGCCCGGACAGAGTGAGTTTTTTCTCGCTAAATTAAATCCTGGTCTCCGTTGGAGGCGACGCGCTGCGAAGCTCGTTGTTAGTAAACTTGATCGACTTATTCATTCAAAAGTCGCGAGGGAAGGGATTGCTGTACCCTTTCGCGATAAAAATATCTCAGGCAGGAACCGCAGGAGGGGGTCCAACCCCCCACTCCTATGTGACCCCGTTTGGGTCGTCTAGCTGGTAGAAGTGGAGCATAGGGGCCAGAGGAGCAGAAGACAGAGTCCAATGACGGGAGGAAAAAAACAAAAAAGCAAAAAAACAAAAAAATGTTTCCTTTCGCGTTTCGTGCGATACCATTTGGAGAAACAATAGTTGGAACAATAAACAACGATATTCGTGATCGCCTCGTCGAGCTATGTCGACAGGTGCAGAGCTTGACCTTTTGAGAAAATGCAACAGTTTAAGCAAAAAAAATCAACCGAACCCCCTCGCCATATATAGCACAGAACCCCTCGATCATCCCACGGAAAATATACCTAACTGCTTTATGTTGTTTCTCACATTGGCTTTATCGTCCACAAAAAAGGGGGAGCCCGTGGTCTCAAAACCCGGCACATACGACGCCGCGGGGAAACAAAGCCAAAATAGGGTACAAACCACTCGGAAAAAGAAGACAGAATCTAGAGAAAGAAAATAACAGGTAACGCACAGACGGTTCGAGAAAAGAGCCCTCGGAAACCGATAAAAAAAACAAAAACATAATGTGTGCTCCTATTAGTCTAATATGTTTCTCTGCAAATGGTAGATATGCGTATCAAACACCCAGAATACAGATCAGTGCCTTTCGTACCGAGAGTGCAGATTTGAACGCCAGGTGATCAGTCCGTGTCCAGCAAGCAAGCGGGTTGACGCAATACGGATCTTCGTCCAAAGACCCAATCCAGGATGTACTGCAGTGCCCGGACACACCGCGTCCGCTCCACGAAGAAAAGAATCCGGCGCTGCGCTGATTCAGTGGCTCATAACCTTATTACGTCTACGGTGGCAACCTCCTGGAGGAAGGGCGTTGTTTCACACGGTTACAATCCTACATGCTTCGATCATCTTTGATCCTGCAGACTAACTGATCCGAGGTCTATCCTCTCAATCTAGACAACGCCATGTTGTTCTGTCTCTCATGTTTGCGTGAATCGGTCCTCCTCAGTAGGTGTACGCGAGGTGCGCCTCCTGTCCCCACGCCCTTCGACAGCGATTTGCGCTTACCTCTCCGTCTGTCTGACGGGTGGATGTTGGATCTCACCAACAACTTTGACACTGCTGCACACCAGTAGCACGCACTCCATTAGACTAGGTGGCGAACGGCGCCCAGCCTACAAATAGCTGGGCAAGTACCTCCATCAACTCTTCTACTCGGCGCCCTTGGCGCCCGCTTGCTCCTCGGCCTCTGCTAGGTACACATGTAGCGTGAACTCTATCGCTCACCAGTCACCAGGGTGAAGAGCGTGGTCACACCCAGAGTAGCGACAACAAGTGGTAGACTAGGGCATAGCCAACGAAGTTGGATCCATCCCACCCCGAAGGCCAGTAAGGCATCATGAATGCGATCACCGCAGTAGGAAGGCGCTCCATCCCGATCTCGTCAAGCATCTTTTCCACACAGGATCAGTCGTTCAAACCTTCAGGTGTGTATCTGATGCCTGATGTGCCAACCTGCTAAAAGAGCTGGTTGCTGCATGTTTTTTTTTGTCCCGCCGCGTTTTTTAGCTACTGCTGTAGGCCGTTTTCTGCCTGATACCCGATGCGACCGCTCCTTGTTTGAAACCTGAAACCGTCAGACGAAAGGTGACAGAATGGCTGGCTGACGTGTAGACTGACGTAGACCGGACGAACTACCTGGCGATTGGTATTGGGCATTGTTGTGAAACAGACATTAGGCTAACATTGGTGTGCGGATAGGCGTGTCGATGCCGAAGGAGAGTCACTGAAAAAAAGATTGTTGAAAAATTGGAAATCGCTGCTGATGATGCAAGATGCAAAGCGCAGCCTTTGGCTTGGCAACATCAACGGCAAGTAGCGCGCCGAATCAGATTATGCAATGACCCCCTTCCTTTGGAATTTGCCCCAGAGGGCGAAAAATAGCACGTTTGTTTCTGGGTGGGGCGCCACTACACACAGTTTTTTTCAATTTGTCAAAGTTGGCGAGCTGGTCGGTGCAGCATGTCTGTACCGCCTGGCCTTCCCGACAAGTACTCGGTATTTTCGGTATTTTCTTGACCAATTCTTGATTGCCCGGGGCACCTTTGCTCCCCCGCCTACCTACCAGTGGTCCATCCCAAGCGCGTGGAAACTCCTCTCTAAGGCATGAGAAATATGGGTCATATCTATGATGGAGCCTCACGCACGTTCCAACAACGGCTAGCTGTAGCAAGTGTGACGCCGTCGTCAACCGTTAATAATACAACGAGCACACGACGGACGGAGACAGATTCCCAGCATCAAGTGCAGATGAACATGCACTTCCTTTCTGTCGATCCCCGCAGCGGCAGCAACAACGACAAACATTCAGGCCGACTTTCCCTGCCATTTCCCCTTAACACTTCCTTCTTCAAATCCTCCCGCAAAATATTCGCAAGCGCCAGCGACCTCTTGGTCTGAAACATGGTATTTACATCCCGCACCGCAGATCGTCCTCAAACAGAATTGTGGCAAGCACCGCAGGGGGTTGAAGTCCTGCTGTAGCTAACAATGGCATTCAAAACACATTATGGTGCGCGTTTTCCTACTTAAGACTGACGTGTTCTCATGGGCCATTCGGCTAGCGCAGTCGATGCTAATGTTAATAAAGACACACCCACGTGCGTGCACCTCTCTCTTTCCAAGCCACGCGTCAATCATGTACCGAACGGTGTTGACTGGCTGCACCCCCTTGCATAGACGTCACAAGAACACACAGCACTCCGATAAAACAAACTCAAACACACGAATCAAAGTTGCAACGCGTGGTTGTCAATTCCTTTTCGCTCCTGTGGTCTCAACCATCAGGCAAAAAGCAAAGCACCGCGGTCTATCTGCACCAATCAAACGGCAACGGCCCCAAATGGAAAAAAAACAAGTCAACGATGGACCCGAAACCCCTCGACCGCACGCGCACACAACACGCTTCCACCTCCCTCCAACCATTCCGTACCCATCCCACAAATCCACGCAATTTACACCAGCATCAAAATCCAACAATCGGCAGGGCACGCTCTCTCTCGTTACCCAGACCGCATCCACACGCACAGAAACGCCTTGAACATGCAACTTGTCATTCCAAAAAACGATGAGCTGCCAAGTAAGCGGCTTCGCGGGAGAGGTGAGTGACACCAACGTGGGTGCACAAGACCTACGATTTAGACACACAGGTTGTTGTTGCGTTTGAGCAACCGCGCGGTTCCAAAAAAAGAATGGTGCCCTAATACTGGGGAGGTCAGAGCGGATAAATGCCGGCAAAGCAGCACTCTGTGGTTCGATGACAAATATCTGCATCAAACATCTGCCGGAGAGAGAAAACCCGCCTTTACGCTACGCATTTCCGTTGGTGTGCATAGGATACCATACCCCCTTGGTCCATTTCTCGAAGCTCGACCATTTACCCCGTCGCCCGAAACGGGGACGGTGTCTAAAAATACGAACCGTCACGTCGCCGAGAGTTTTCCGGAAACACATTACTAAATGTTGGCAGTAAGCATCCTCGTCGTCGTGGAGTAATCCAGCCCTTCAAAAACTCTGTCCACGGGGGAGGGGTCGGTGGTATCTTACGCAGCATTCGTACGCACGTACGCGTATATGCACGAAATCCCCTATGCCGCCTTGTCCTTGACGGAGGGGGGGGTGGTGTCGGTCGCCCCGCTCTCGCTTCCTTCCGGAGACGCTCCCTTGCCATAGGCCAAGTTCTGCTGCTCCTGCACGGCTATGGGGTAGTCGTAACCCACGTGCCCCATGTGCACCACCTGGTCCATCCGGCGCACGCGCGCGTGCGGGGGGGGTGAGCGGGGTGGGGGTGTACTCATAGTCCATTCACCTCGCATCCCTACAAAGCCGGGACGGAGCACGCCGGGTTCTCACCGGACCAGGCTCTCACATCACCAAGCGCGAAGCGCTGTGAGGTATTCGGCGAGTCTCATGAAGGGTGCACTGCATCCTGCTAAGGGTGTTCGGCATGTTGTGCTTTCTTCCTTGCACACGGATGACAGCTGCGAATGACTTCATTTGTTTTCTGGTGCTTTCACTTCC